CTAGCTGGGGCCCTCGCCGAGCGCTGGGGGGCCGCGGGCAAAACGGACTCGGGATGAGGAGCTGGCCCCATGGAAGATTGAGCAGGGACCGACCGGTCCAGTTTTTCTATAGGCCTACCACTACATGTTCTTAGAACCCAAAAATGTGTTGTAAGAACAAGGGCAATGCTCTTAGAACATGAACCCGATGTGTTAAAACAAGACAGACTCAGCCAGACATATTCGAAGAACAGTTCGTGCAAACCAAACCAGGTTCTTTGAACATTCTTTGGTATGCCTGTAGGCGAGCCAGGACGCTTCGCCACTGCTTTAGAAGAAGGTCCAGACCTCCAGGGGGCCCCGCATGGAGAAAGTCAAAAGCAGCATCGGGGGCCTGGGCGGGGGCCACGACCTGAAGGAAATTGCACGGCGACAAGAAAACAGACATACGACGCCGTTCCTGCCGCTGGGAGACCGCATCGCGTCGGCAAGGGGCGGCATGGGGTCGGCGCTGCGTCGGCGATGTCGCGCACCTGCCCTGGCAAACGGCACGCGCTCTGTTTATACGATCGCCGCCCTCCGCTTCAGGCTGCGGCGGGAAATGCGCTGGCGACCGTCTCCTCGGCCGCGGCGCTGCTGAGCGGGCGGCCCCCCGGCAGGATCGCCTCGACGCGCCAGGCTCCGGGGCCCAGCCTGCCCGCGCGGTGCTCGGCCACGAGCTGGAGGTAGATGTCTGCGAGGCGGGCGGTGGGCGCCGCCCTGATCCTGCATCGCTCCACCCCGCCGATGGTGACGAAAACCATTGAGCCGCCATCGAGCGACACCTGCAGGAGCAGCGCTGGACACAAATGAGCTGCGTAGGTCAGGCCCGCGGGCAGCGCCGGGAGGTCGCACTGACCAGCATGATTGCTGCCGCAGGCCACGGCGGTGCCGTCGCTCCTGAGCAGCACCGTGTGCCTCCCTCCAGCGGCGACCTGCGCGTAGGTCAGGCCCGCGGGCAGCGCGGGGAGGTCGCACTGACCAGCACGATAGCCACAGGCCACGGCGGTGCCGTCGCTCCTGAGCAGCACCGTGTGGTCCTCTCCAGCGGCGACCTGCGCGTAGGTCAGGCCCGCGGGCAGCGCCGGGAGGTCGCACCGACCATACTGATTCCAGCCGCAAGCCACGGCGGTGCCGTCGCTCCTGAGCAGCACCGTGTGGTCCCCTCCAGCGGCGACCTGCGTGTAAGTCAGGCCCGCGGGCAGCGCCGGGAGGTCGCACTGACCTTCATGATTGTTGCCGCAGGCCACGGCGGTGCCGTCGCTCCTGAGCAGCACCGTGTGGCACCCTCCAGCGGCGACCTGCGTGTAGGTCAGGCCCGCGGGCAGCGCGGGGAGGTCGCACCGACCAGCAAGATTCCTGCCGCAGGCCACGGCGGTGCCGTCGCTCCTGAGCAGCACCGTGTGGTTCTCTCCAGCGGCGACCTGCGTGCAGGTCAGGCCCGCGGGCAGCGCCGGGAGGTCGCACTGACCAGCACGATTGCTGCCGCAGGCCACGGCGGTGCCGTCGCTCCTGAGCAGCACCGTGTGGAACCCTCCAGCGGCGACCTGCGTGCAGGTCAGGCCCGCGGGCAGCGCCGGGAGGTCGCACTGACCAGCATGATTGCTGCCGCAGGCCACGGCGGTGCCGTCGCTCCTGAGCAGCACCGTGTGGTTCCCTCCAGCGGCCAACATCTCTGCGGGCGAGCCCGCCGGGAGCCGCCCGATCCCCAGGGCGAGGCGCGGCGCGGGCGGGACAGGCTCGAGCCGAGAGCGGGCCGCGCGAGGGGCCAGCGGGGGCGGCCAAGGAGGCCGAGGGCGGGCGGCCCGAGAGGCGGGCCTGCCCGGAGGGGCCGGGGGTCCTCGCTCCCTCCCCTCTACCCCCCCGAGCCACCTCCCCTCCCCCCCCCGAGCCACCTTCCCTCCTCCCTCCCTCCTCCCTCCCTCCTCCCTCGCTCCTCCTCCCTCCTCCGTCCCTCCCTCCCCCAGAAACGGCCCAGGGGGACGGGCGTAGACAAAGACAAGTTCACAGGTTCACAGCCTGGCCTGTCTGTTCTGGAGCTTCGTCTGCCCCGCCAGTTGCCGTATTTTCCGGGGGCTCGCCGTGCGCGCGTGTCTGCGTATGGCGGGGTTCCCCCGAGGCTCGGCGACCTATACGCTGGGCCCTCGGGCTGCCCGGCGCGTCGCGGGGGGAGGCCGGGGAGAGGGGCCCCGCGCCCCCTGCGAGGCCCCGCCTCGATCGGGGGGCGCCGCGGGCAGTGGCCTCCGACACTTCGTGGGTGGATCGCGCAGCCCTGTCGCGGCCTTCCAGAGGCGCAGGTCGCCCGGGCGCTGCTGTGCTTAATTACTGGGGGGGGGGGGGGGGGGGGGGCGATCGTCGTGCGGGGGGAGAGGGGGGGGAGAGGGCGAGGAGGCGCGCGCCCCTGCCGTGCCCCTTTCGGGCCCCGCGGGGGCCCCCTCTAGGGCGCGAGGGGTGGCGCCTGGTCTTCCCCCCCCCCCTCCTTCCATTCGCCCCCCGCCCATGACGCAGCGCCCGAGTCGTTCGATGTCGGCGGATGCCGGGCCGCGTCCAACGTTCGACCTTGAATGCCCGCGCTGGAGTCGCCGCCACGTCGGCACGACGCGAGCGCGTCGTGAACCGCTGACGCGCTACGAAAGGGGGCAGCAGAGTCAAGGGCTCAGGAGGGTACTCTGGGTGGCAGAGGCTTCCGAGAGGCTAGCAAAGCGGCCGCGTCCATCCTGGCCGTCAGCAAGCCCAGTGCTCCTCGCAGTGGATGCTTCCCGCAGAGCTCGGCGCCGCAGCAAAAGCCGAGACGCGCAGCGTGCTCATTCTGCCCCTGGAGAGGCGCTTCCCTGGCTCCGGGAGCGCTCAAGAACGCGACCCAGGACGACAGACTGGCCCTACGGGAACGGGGGCAGGGTGGCCTCTGATGCGTCTTCAGTGCTTCCGGATGTCTTCAGAGGTCAGCTGGTGCCTTGGAGGATCGGAGGGGGGCCAATATTTGAGTTATGCAGGAGGGATGCCCAGAGTCGAGGGAGATGCAACGGTGCCTTGCCCTAAAGACGCACCCTCAGCGCCGAGGTTGAGTGTGCAGGCGGCAAGAGGAGCAGGGCACTGGGAGGGGGGGAGGGGGAGGGGAACGCTTTCTGGGACGAAGAAGAGGAAGAGAAGGAGGAGGATGGAGGAGGAGCAGCAGCGTCTGGATGCAAGAAACCTTGGCTAGTCAGCATGGCCGTTGGGGGGCGCAAGCAGCGCCCGGACGCAAGAGCGCACTAGAGGCATCCTACATGGGGTCCGAGTAGACGGGGTCGGAGGATCGCACCAGATCGCCGATGCATCACCGATGCACCGGCGATGCATCGGCGATGCACCGACTGCGCATCGTCGATGTTGGCGGTGCATCGGCGCCGTCGACGCGAGGCAAAGCGGGCCCCACATCGAGCCGCATCGGCGATGCATCGGCGGTGCGGCGCGATCCTCCGACCCCATCTGACTCCGACCCCATCTAGGAGGCCTGTAGACGCACGGAGCCCTACGCATGATGAGCGCGACCTCGGAGCATCCCGGGATCTCAAGACACGGCAGCGCTTGGGTACTCAGGGCTCATGGGGAAGGCACAATGCCCCCGGAGGGGGGCAGCCAACAGCTCTCCGGCGCCCTGGCGCCCGTCCGGGCACCCCCGGAAGGGCCTCGGCGAGGCGCAGCTTCTGGAGAGCACCCCGAGCGCACGGGTGCTAAAAGCTCTCGGAGGTGCGCGCCGCTGCTCTGGAATCGGCGCCAGAACACTCTGCTCCGCGCGCGGAGCGCGCCAGAGGAGCGCGGCGGAGGCACCGCCAGGGGCCTTGGAAGCGCAGATCCAAGGAACCCGCGCGCAGAGCACCGCAAGCTCGCGCGCCGCGCTGCGTCTCTTGGGGGGACCAAGAGGTGCCGATGCACGGCTACTCCCTGGACCTCTCCCGGGGTGCGTTCGGACCCGATTCTTGCAAGGCGAATCCAGCGGTGGGGACGATGGCCTCCCAGGAGGCCCAGAAAGGCGCGCACACGAGGGCAGAGTAGCGGTATGGGTGCCTTTTCCTCCTCCAAGTTGTTCTTCTCGGAGAGTGGGGACCAGAGCGGGGGTGAGAGGCAACATCAGGGGAGGAGGGGGAAGAGCTCAGGGGGTAGAGCAATCGACCTGGCATCGGCGGTGCGTCACAACCATGGCGTCGGAGTGCCTTCGTTTCTGCAGCCCCCCTGGAACCCCGGAGCGTCTGGAAGGCCCTGGAAATCCTGGATCGCAGCACATCGTGACCTCTTGCGCCTCCGAGTCAAGTCCTTCCCCTCCCATGGGCAACGCTGTCCCCCAGACGCTCGGCACTTCAATGTCTTCGATGAGAGGACCCCCGAAGGTCTGGACAGCTTCCCTACATAGGGCGGGCTTTGCATCCTGAGTCGTTTGTTGACGGTCCCGGGGCCCAGTGAAGTCCCCGGAACACCGGCAGACCAAACATCAACCGCTCCCCTGATTCGCTGAAGACTCTGATCTCTAGGCCTGGGCACGAAGGCGTCGGCGCGGACCCCCCAAAAAACAACAATTACAGCCTCCCCCCAGACCTGTCCTGGAGCGCGCCCTGGCCCGACTTTCGCGGCGAGTCCAGCCGCGGTGCCGAGGGCCGAGGGCCTCCCAGGAGGCCTTAGAGCTGATGGGCACTTGCGCTGCATCAGAAAGTGCAAGATCGCATGATGCACGCCATGTGTCGCATAAGAAGGGCTGGACTCATAGAAACCACTTGGCAGGCGACATGCTGTGTCCACCTATGCGAGCGTGCTGCCAACAGCATCATGGGGACTTGCTTCCACTGTGGGTGGCGAAGCACAGCCGTGCGAGCATCACGCGAGGAGGGGGCAGGGGCGCCGAGGCGAGGGAGGAGGGGAAAACGCTGGAGTGAGCTTCCTGGGGTGCGTAAGGATGCACTACCGCAGAGGAGGAGGAGGAGGAGGAGGAGGAGGAGGAGGAGGAGGAGGAGGAGGAGGAGGAGGAGCTGATGGGCACAGGCCGCCGCGCCGCCCCTGTCGCTCCACAGGAGCGCCGCGACTGGCGCGAAGGCCGCAGAGCGGGCGGCCCGAGGCCCCCCCCCCCGCCCCCCAGCCCTGCGCCCTTCGGGCCCGCCCTGGGCGCCCCCCTGGGCGACTTGGGCCTCGCGGGGGCCTGTCGGGCCTGCCCCCGCGCCCCGAGCAGCTCGAGGCGGAGGCGCTCCGCGGCGCCTGGCCTGGCTGGGGCCCTCGCCGAGTCCCGGGGGGGCCGCGGGCAACACGGACGATGCCGAGCTGGCCCCAGGAAGATCGAGCAGGGACCGACCGTCCCAGCATTTCTGTAGGCCTACCACGAAATTATCTTGGAACCTAAACATGTTCTAAGACCAAGAGCAATGTTCTTAGAACATGAACCCGATGTGTTAGAACAAGACAGACCCAGCCAGACATATTCTAAGAACATTTCGTGCAAACCAAACAAGGTTCTTAGAACATTCTTTGGTATGCCTATAGGCGAGCCAAGACGCTTCGCCACTGCAAGAAGGTCCAGACCTCCGGGGGGGCCCGCATGGAGAAAGTCAACAAAGGCAGCATCGGGGGCCTGGGCGGGGGCCACGTCCCGAGGGAAACTGCGCGGCGACCAGAAAACAGACATACGACGCCGTTCCTGCCGCTGGAGGGCCGCATCGCGTCGGCAAGGGGCGGCATGGGTTCGGCGCCGCGCCGGCGATGTCGCGCACCTGCCCTGGCAACAAACGGCACGCGCTCTGTTTATACGAACGCCGCCCTTCGCTTCAGGCTGCGGCGGGAAATGCGTTGGCGACCGTCTCCTCGGCCGCGGCGCTGCTGAGCGGGCGGCCCCCCGGCAGGATCGCCTCGACGCGCCAGGCTCCAGGGCCCAGCCTGCCCGCGCGGTGCTCGGCCACGAGCTGGAGGTGGATGTCTGCGAGGCGGGCGGTGGGCGCCGCCCTGATCCTGCATCGCTCCACCCCGCCGATGGTCACGAAAACCAGTGAGCCGCCATCGAGCGACACCTGCAGGAGCAGCGCTGGAAGCAAATGAACTGTGAAGGTCAGGCCCGCGGACAGCGCCAGGAGGTCGCACTGACCATGAATCCAGCCGCAGGCCACGGCGGTGCCGTCGCTCCTGAGCAGCACCGTGTGGATCCCTCCAGCGGCAACCTGCGTGTAGGTCAGGCCCGCGGGCAGCGCCGGGAGGTCGCACTGACCATACTGGTTCCAGCCGCAGGCCACACGGTGCCGTCGCCTGGCAGCACCGGGGCAGCGGCGACGTCTGAGCACTGACCAGCGTGGTTGCCCTGCAGGCGCAGCGGCGACCTGCGTGTAGGTCAGGCCCGCGGCACGGGTGCCGTCGCTCCTGAGCAGCACCGTGTGGCGCTCTCCAGCGGCGACCTGCGCGTAGGTTAGGCCCGCGGGCAGCGCCGGGAGGTCGCACTGACCAGCATCATTCCAGCCGCAGGCCACGGCGGTGCCGTCGCTCCTGAGCAGCACCGTGTGGCGCCCTCCAGCGGCGACCTGCGCGCAGGTCAGGCCCGCGGGCAGCGCCGGGAGGTCGCACCGACCATCATTCCAGCCGCAGGCCACGGCGGTGCCGTCGCTCCTGAGCAGCACCGTGTGGCGCTCTCCAGCGGCGACCTGCGCGTAGGTTAGGCCCGCGGGCAGCGCCGGGAGGTCGCACTGACCAGCATCATTCCAGCCGCAGGCCACGGCGGTGCCGTCGCTCCTGAGCAGCACCGTGTGGCGCCCTCCAGCGGCGACCTGCGCGCAGGTCAGGCCCGCGGGCAGCGCCGGGAGGTCGCACCGACCATCATTCCAGCCGCAGGCCACGGCGGTGCCGTCGCTCCTGAGCAGCACCGTGTGGCGCTCTCCAGCGGCGACCTGCGCGTAGGTTAGGCCCGCGGGCAGCGCCGGGAGGTCGCACTGACCAGCAAGATTCCAGCCGCAGGCCACGGCGGTGCCGTCGCTCCTGAGCAGCACCGTGTGGCGCCCTCCAGCGGCCAGCATCTGCAGAAAACGAGGGAAGGGTAGCGGCGTGGGTACCCCGTCCTCCTCTGGGCCAGCGCGGAACGCTACAGTGGAAACGAGGGCGCTTACGCGCGACCTGACACGTGCAGCTTGCGCGCGAATGCCTGGGCAGACTGCCCCGTCTCTGCCTATCCACGGGGCCTGAGCCCCTCGAGCAGCGGTCCTGGGAGAGCCCCGGGGGCCTGCCCCGAGATCCGACGCTGCAAGATAGATGCAACATCGCAGGCAGTCGCGACCAGAGCCCGGAGGCGAGCGAAGGGCGGAAGTGAGAAGGAGGTGGCCTTCTCAGAAGGCGGCGGGACTTCTCAGAAGCCCTCGCGCCTTCCGGGAAGTTTTCTGTGTCTTCGGGGAAGGCTTAGGAAACCTATGCCATAAGGCTGGGGGACTTCCGAACCTTTTGAGAAGGCCTCCTCCTTCTCACTTCCCCCGTCGCTCGACGCCGGAAAATAGATGCACCATCGCAAACAGTCGCGACCAGAGCCCTGGACTTATGTTGCTCCCGTCGTACTTAAGGACCATACCCCAGAAATGTGCTGTCGAGCACCCAGGCAAGTATCGAGACAGTGTCTGCCCGACACGCTGGCGAAATGTCGAACGAGTATCGCCTGCCAGGGCCCGACACCTGAACACCCTCCAGTGTCGGCATTGTCTTGACGCTCGAAATTCGCTCTGTTGGTCAAGGCTGAAGAATGTTGGAACATCTTCACCCTAGACCCTATCACCCTGCTGCATTTGTCGAGCAGGATGGATCTGTGATGGCCCCGGGGCCCGAAACCCAGCCACAACGCCAGGTGTGAAAACACTGCAGCGCTCGGATCTCGGGGTACTGCGACTGTCGCCGATGTCCAAGCCAGCGCCTCGAACAATCCTGCCAAGCGCCTCGAACAATCCTGCCAGGCCAGAGACACGGTTGTCCCCCTCGCCCTGGGAGGGGCTCGGTGTACGTCGCTTGGTCGGCAGGGGAGCTCGGCTCGTAGACGCCCCAGCTGCCCAAGCTGTGGGACGCTGGAGCGTCCGTACTTTTTGGCGATCGCGGCCTCGCGCGCAGCGTCGGGGCGGAGCAGGTCGAGCAGACGGCACAGAGCCAACGCGCCTGGCTGGAGCGTCCATGCACCCGATGCCTTCGCCGAGTCCGCTGGCTCCGAGGCCGACCGAACGACGCGGTGTTACATGTCCCAAGGCTCCTGGCCCGCGGGCCCCGCCCCCCGGATGGGATAGGCCCCCAGGAACCGCGGGCCCCCTGGCTCCACGTCGAGCAGCGTCGGCGATGCATCGGCGATGCGACGCGGGCTTTGGAACACATATATATATATATATATATACACACATCATATATGTACACATGCATGCATACATATATACATATATACATAGATACATGTATACATATATACATGCATCCATCCATACATACATACATGCATACATACATACAAACATACACACAAACATACATACAGACATACATACATACATACATACATACATACATACATACATACATACATACACACATACATACACACAATCACACAGGTGTATATATACATATGTGTATATATATACACGCACGATTGTACCGGTTCGCTGCGTTTCGCCTTTACAACCTTGGTCGCATGGTGCCTGGGAATCGTTCTGGGACCGTTGGTCGGCAATGCTTGTCACTGTCGTAGGGCTCATGGGAGGCCGTTGGGCCTTCGGGCGTATAGGGATCGGAGGACCCAGTGTGCATAGGGCTCAAGAGGCTTGTTTAGGCCGCAGAGGCCGTATGGCTCATAGGGCTTTGGCTTCGGAAGATGTCCCTGGCGCCTTCGGCGCCAGGGACGGGTTTGAACATCTCGGGACCTCCTTTTGACCTTTTGGCCCTTCGTGCTGGTCTCTGGGTCCTCCATGGGGTGTTCTGGCGCCTCTTGAGCCTTCATGTAGGCCTGTGGGGCTGGATGACTCGGATTGTGGTTTCGCGTTTCCTCTCTTGGGCGCTTTTCGGAGCAGTCTTGAAGTCCTCTTCGGGCAGTCTTTGAGGCCGTCTTTGGCCGTCTTGCGGCTTTCTTGAGCTGTCATAGGGTGTTGCCTAGGGGTCTCTTGGGCTGTCGTTGGCGGTCTTGGGGTGCTTTTTAGGCTGTCGCCGAGATTCGGGGCGATGAACTGACGAGGACGCTAAAATTAATGAAACAACAATGAATATTGTTGACGCTTCGCGTATCCCCACCAACCATTTTGCTTGCTGGTAATTAGAGGGATTTTCGGACGACGCCAGAAATGGGTCTACCTGTTCTCGACGCCCTTCTGAGCTGCCGCCCGGCTGCTGCGCCTGTTTTGCTTTCCGCTTTTCGCTGCCTAATCGTGGCCCGGCTAGACTTTGGACGCCTTTTGACCCGCTTCACGAGGCCGTTGACCAAAAAGTATCCCCACCAGCCCATACGGAAACGATAGGGTGGTAGTTGGGGTAATCTGGGAAGCGGGAGAGCATGCAGAATATCAAAAAGGGAGAGAAGCCGCGAGCAGGACCAGGAGGAGGAGGAGGGGGAGGAGGAGGTGCGGGGAGGAGGAGGAAAGGAGGAGGAGGAGAGAAGAGAAGGAGGAAACGGAGGAAAAAGGGGGAGGAGGAAAAGGAGGAGGAGAAGGACGAGGGAGGAGGGAGGAGGATAGTAGTAAGGTGAAGGACGGGGTAGGAGAGAGGAGGGAGGAGGAAGTATGAGGAGGAGCAGGCGGACGAAGAGGAAGAAGGGGCGAAGGAGGAACAGGAAGAGGAGGAGAGGGCGGGCGGATGGGCCAGAGGCCTCTCGATTTGGGAGCGTACTGGAGGATTCTTGGAACGTCTTGGGGACCTCTTGGAAAGGCACGCAGCAGCGCGTCAGAGGATCGAACATCGTTTTGGAGGCGTTCGCGGCACGTCTCTGGATGCGTTCGTAGCACGTCGGAGGATCAAACATCTCTTTGTCCAAACCAGCGCGCGATGCATTTTTATTGGATTGAAGGGAAGCTTGTCATGTGCACGCGCGCAATGAATGGAGCGTAGTTAAATTTCTTCGTTGTTTTCCCATATTGATTCAAAATCTCGTTTTCTGTCCTCCATGGAGATAGTTTCGACGAGCAACTCCGACTACCGATAGTAATAGTAGCAGTACTACGACCCATCCTCCTCCTACTACTACTACTGCTACTACCACGACGACTTTTACTACAACCACTGCTTCTACTTCTACTTCTACTACTACTACGACTACTACTACGACTACTACTACTAATACTACTACTACTACTACTACTACTACTACTACTACTACTACTACTACTACTACTACTACTACTACTACTACTACTACTACTACTACTACTACTACTACTACTACTACTACTACTACTACTACTACTACTACTACTACTACTACTACTACTACTACTACTACTACTACTACTACTACTACTACTACTACTACTACTACTACTACTACTACTACTACTACTACTACTACTACTACTACTACTACTACTACTACTCGGCCCCGTGCACCACATCACCACGGCTCAACCGCCTTGGGATGAGCGTCCTTGTGGCTGCCTCATTTCCAGTATGTAGCGAGCACCTCTTCTGGGTGAAATGGCGGGTCTGACGTGCATGCAGCGGCGGGCGCTTATCCGAGGGCAGCTGGCCCCCACGGCCCAGAGTAAAGCGACAGCGGCGGCGCAGCAGCACACGGGGCGACCCCAGTACCGCCATCGAGGCCAACGAGCGCAAGTAGGCGCGAGAAGAGGCCAGGATGGCAAGCCAAAATGGCTCGGCGCACAGCGGCGGCACGGCAGCACACGGGGCGACCCCAGTACCGCCAACGAGGCCAACGAGCGCAAGTAGGCGCGAGAAGAGGCCAGGATGGCAAGCCAAATGGCAAGCCAGAATGGCTAGGCGCACAGTTGACCGTGCGAAGAGCGGAGGCCTAAGCACCAGGGCCCGCGGCGCGAGGGGGGGCACCACTGTGGGCGCACCCGCGCAAGCTGGCAAGGCGGCGTTGCTAAAGCTGGAGCGTAAGCGAGCATACAGGCTCAGCATCCTTGAGAGTGGCAGGCTCGGGATCTTAACATGGACTCACGTAGCCTCCCCGAGGGCTTAGAAGTAAACGATGCTGGGGGCCTGCAGAGTCTCAGCGTTCAGGCGGACTGGCCTGTTCCTTGCGCAATGGCTGCGAAGACCTGCGACGGCAGCGCTTGCACTTCTCCCCCGAGGTCGCCACTGCCGCCCGCCTGCCCTGGGGGCCCAAAGATCTGGCGCTCGAGATCCTCACCGAGGGCCACGTTCAGGGCGGCGACATTAGGGATCTGCTGCGGGAGCGGGTCAACGGCGGCGGCGGCACCGCAGGGGGCGCCGTCAGCGGCGGCGGCGGCGGGGCCATGATGGCCGCGGGCGGGGCTCCAGCAGGCGGTGGTGGCGGGTCCTGGCTGCCGCGGGCCGAGCCAGCGGGGGGGGGGGCACTGCTACTGTTACTGCTACTGTTACTGCTACTGCTTCTGCTACTGCTACTGCTACTACTACTACTACTACTACTACTACTACTACTACTACTACTACTACTACTACTACTACTACTACGACTACTACTACTACTACTACTACTACTACTACTACTACTACTACTACTACTACTACTACTACTACTACTACTACTACTACTACTACTACTACTACTACTACTACTACTACTACTACTACTACTACTACTACTACTACTACTACTACTACTACTACTACTATTGCTACTACTACTACTACGACTACTACTACTACTACTACTACTACTACTACTACTACTACTACTACTACGACTACTACTACTACTACTACGACTACTGCTGCTGCTGCTACTACTACTACTACTACTACTACTGCGTCCACTACCACTACTACTGCGACTGCTGTAACTACGACTACTACCACTACTACTGCTACTACTACTACTACTACTACTACTACTACGACTACTACT